CACATTAAATGCCAAATGTATTTTGTGAACGACCACAACTTTTGCACAGCTTTCGTTTTTGCAGTAAGACCAACGTACGTAAGCAAATGCAATGAATCTACTTTATTCATTAACTGAAAACCATCATGAAAATCCATTAAAATTACATGGAATAAAATTATAATATGAAAAATTTGGATTCAACTTGGAGATTTGCAAAATTCATGTATGACAGTCGAGATGAGAGAGAGAGAGACAGAGAAGAAAAAAACCAAAGGTTGATACAATTGACTGCTGCACAAGTGATGATTTGATCATGTTTAATTCTAAACAATGTGACATATATTCAAATAATACTGTCATAAACCGCTCTTAAAATGTCTTTAAAATGCGTAATATAGCCACAGAGAAAATGATTCTGTTGCCATAGATAAATTTCAGTTTTGAATCGTTTCGACGAGAAATGCGTTGCAAATAAAGTGTGGCATTGCGTCATCAGTCAATATCGATTGAATAGGCCATAGTTTCTCAAGCATATTCTCATCATTTAGCATTGATGAAATTAACGACATTATATGAAGTTCCATAATTATATGAACATAACAGTGTGTAACGAAGGCGCAAAGCATTTATTATTCAAAAATCGTTTTCATTTTCCCTACAACGCATTTCTGGCACAACATTATCATGGGATAACGTACATTATGATACGATAGAGCGAGAGAGAGAGAGAGAGAGAGAGAGAGAGAGAAAAAACCGAGCCGCCGACCGACCGTAGAAACGAAAATGGAAATGCGTGTTTATTCTTAGTGCCGTCAAATTTGGTATGTGTACACTCGTTCACTCACATTTTGTATTTATTATGAAACTTCTGAAGAGCTCAATGTATTTCAGCATCGCAACCAATTTTGGATTATTTTTTAAGCTCTTTTTGAATTATTTATCACCAAATCAAGTTCATACTATCCATACACACAGACACACACACGAATTGCGAGAGAAATACTTGGGTTCAGTTCAATCTAAAAACTAAACCTCAAATCGGACTGTATCTTTCTATCTCGCTCAAATTGAGTCGGAGGCATCCAATGTTCGAAGTATATGCCCGTCATCAAAAATGTTTTTCGGAACAGTTTCCGAACAACCATTTGACCGCAATGTTAGTTGTTGTTTAAATACATAGCATATTGTCTAAATGATCGCACTTTTTTTTTCACATTCTATGTGCTGATAAACTTGAACAAATTTTTTGGGGGGAAGGTTTTGAAATAAACAAGACATGATTTTTATTTGAACAAATGAACCCAGCTAATGCAAACCGCTATGCTGAAGCACAGCAAATCATTTATTGTTGAACTGTTGAGAGCCCTGGATGCGTAGCAATTTTGATACGAGGGAATAGGAACGTATGTTCAAATAGAGAGGCGACTCAAAATATTATGATTCGCATTTTGTCGCCATGCTTATTTATTGACGAGTTTATGAACGGAAAACAAAAAAAAAACCGACTAGAGTAACACAGAGCGAGAGAGACAGAGAAGTAACTAACTAACAACAAAAACCGAGAATGAATTGAATCGCCAGTGCGACGCTTTAATTGAGTACAACAAAATGGAATAAATTGACGTTGATTAAAACAATAAATAAATTTAATATGACTTTTATATGATATTTTTACATACATTCCTATCTTATCTGTATGTATACAATACATTCGTTATATATTTGTGTATCACATGAAAAGCACCGATATGTGATGACTCTCGGTGCTCGGTGCTTTTTTTTGTGGTTCTGTTCGTCTTCCGCGTGTGTGTTCCACGCGAAAGCGGAACAACATTTCGATCGAATATTCAAAATCGCGATACAAGCACGGAAATTACCATTGACGCAATAATATGCACGATGAGATTGTTTTTTTACTCTCTCTCTCTCTCTCTCTCTCTCTCTCTCTCTCCCTGTCGTTGTATTCATGATTGACACACAAATAATAACTAGTAGCGAACACACAGTGTTTCCCTTAATATTGATAATATATCCACCCTCACATACATTTTGAAAAATGCGCAGCAAACATACTGCCATTGGCTAATGTATTTATATGTATGTGTAAATTGAACATACATTCGCGCATCAATTATTTCGGTTACAGAAAAAAAAAAGTTGGCGAAAACAATTAACCACGCGCGCGCGCACTTTCAATCGGTAACGACGACGAAATGTACTTGCATTTATAAATTTTTGTGATTTTTCCAGCAACAAACCAAAAAAAAAAAAATCCTCAATTATTTATTTAGCAATTTTCATAATTAATTGATTAATTATATTGCTGGATGCGTAAAATGTCCTATTAATGTATCTAATTTATTTGAAGCGGATAGACGTCGCAACAAAATGTTCTCCATGAAAATCGTGTTGGATGTAAAATCACATTGTTTTATAAAATTATTGTTAAAATATGTTTTTTTTTGGAAATGTTTCAAATTTTTCAAATAAATTTCATCATTTTAAATTCCGCTGTTGCTATGAAAAACAGAATTTTAACAAAATCGCACAAAAATTCCACATCGAATCAAATCCATCCTTTAAAAACATTAACAAACAATGGTGAATGATTAATTTTTCTTTCTTTTATAACTCTTCTTTTCTCGCTCCCGTTTCATTCAATACATTTCGTGTTGGTTGCTGACGACGCAACTGACATACCGAAACGAAAAAAAAAAAAAAAACAAAAAAAATATTTTCATGCTAATTTATTACATTCAAATACAGTAAGTGTTGATTGGTGTTCATCATGTTTGGGTGTCATTGTTTTGTGGCACTCGTAAAGCATTTCAATAAATAAAGGCATCGCACAAGGGAGCGCTTATCGAACCGAACAAAAAAAGAGTAATGGGAACAAGTCAAATGCTTAAATGTGTCAAATTGAAAATTGGGAAACATCTCAGCGCACACAGACTGCCATTAAAATTAAAAGAAATGGAAAATTTTGGATGGGAACGTCACAAAGACGGAAAAAGAAACAAAAACATACAAACCATATGACGAAGAGCATTCAAATGACTTACACAGTTTTTAGATACAACGCTTAAATGCCACAATAAATCTTCGTAGTTAAGAACGTTATGAGCAAACATCGGGAAGAGGATTTCACTATTATTATGCAGACAGACTCAAAACATGATCCATAGATATCAATTTCTCTCTCTCTTGAAGAAGATGAAAAAGAACAATTGTATCCAAGAAAAGAATAAAATACACACACACACACACACACACACACACACACACACACAAACCGAACAAAACTTTGAAAATGATCCAATTCTCTTTCAGAATATTATTCATTTCTTCTGTCTTTTCATATTTCGTGTCGAGATTTTTTTCTTTTCATTCGGCCACTGCATTTGGAAAGTTTGAATGAATCGAAATTATTAACGCCAAAATTTTAAGGCCATGTAAGACGGCTGACAGATGTCACATTGTTGACATTTTCAAATGATTTTTAAATGAAATGATTTTATGACCTCGACGAATTCACACGCGCTCAAACATTTTCGACGATAAATTTAAACAAAATGATGAAATTAAAGAATCAAATCCTTATATCTTTGAGGGGAAAAAAATGGAATGAATGTGAGACAGAAAATAAACGATTGAATTATGTTAAACAATTGATGCAAAATACTTGTGATTGACAGCACTCCGAAAAAAGAGTCCATCATATGAATAAATAAAGGTCACTTTTCATTTCTTTTCACCCAAATCATAAGTTCGGAGAGTATTTCTTATCCGCATGTTAAATTGAATTATTCTGAATTGCATATTATACATATATATACAAAGTAGGTAAAAAAGGAAATGGTATCATCACATTTTTTGAGAATAGTCTATGCTTTGAATTAGAATTTGTAATAAAATGCCATTGTCTCATGATTGACAAAAAATAAGAGTTTGCCTTTTGATCGAGTGAGAATGAGTGGACTTGATTGTTTTTCAATTAATCTGTTTATTTCAAAATGTTTATTCACATTCGTTAACGTACGCTACAATAGAATGAAGCGATTTAGTTCTCAGTCCATTTTAATCGCAAAGCATTCACACATTTTAATATTTTTTGTGACCACTTTAAACGAAGTGAAAAAAATGTAGTTTATAAAATGTTCGGTGTGAGTATTAAAAAAAGGCCTACCGACCAAATGTCGTCGAAATCACCAAATTTTCATGCGATCCATAATGACGATAAAAAAATTACTTCATTGATTTTCATGGATGTGCCGTGTTTTTATGTGAAATTTTGTAAATGCAGTCTCATAGCAGCATATAATTTCGTAGACCGTTAATGAAATGCGACGTGGCCAACGAATCAATTCTTGAACCAAAAAAAAATATACACATCCACACAAACTATGCAAATCGCTTCACATACAAACGAAACTGTGTAAAGTCACCCAAATTTATTTAAATATTCATTCATTGTAATTTCACTGTGATTGTTGTTATTTTTAAACTTGAAAACGATTAACATAAATTACTATTGTATATGCTGAATGACCTCACTGCCCTTGGATTCGCGTTTTCTCCTTTTTTCGTTGCTTCAAATGCATATTTTATTCAAGAGTTTGTTGGTACTTTTGACAACAGTAGGCTTTGAAAACTTTTCCCGAATGCTTGGATAGTTCACAATAACTATTGGTGTCTTGAAGGGTACACCACACAGGTGTGATATTATTTTCTTGCAAAAAAAAAAATGACAGCAGTCGACGCGTCTGGCGTAAGCATCCCTGCTGGCCAGTGCTCATTCAGTGCACTGCTGAAAATGTATTGGTTTCGCAAAAACTACGATGCATCAATTCGGTCAAAATGTATACATTCACGCTCGGTTGAGTAAAAAAAACGATGATAACAGAGACACAGAATGTTTAATGGCCACATAGATATTTTACAGATTTTCGAATGGAACAAAAATAATGCGAGATTGTCTTTTCTGATGTGTTTATACGGTTTTTTTATTGCTTATCCTTTTTAGTTGAAAGAAGAACAGTTTCACGTATAAAAATATGTTTGCTCGCCACGTTATGCCTTTTCTTTCATCGTACCAAGTTTTTTCGATCGCAATTCATCCAATTCCGACTGAAGTGCCATTAATTCCTTTTTCAAAAGATCAACACTGTTTCCTGAGACATCTTTGCGCTATCAACCAGAGATTTTTTTTTTTAAATCAGAATCAAATGGTTTTCGTTTTTCAATGTCAAACTCACCGCATTGTTGAGTTCAGTAATTTCATTGACCTTAATTTTGCTATCGTTTGCACATTCGCCATATTTTTTCAATTCTTCCTGGTTCTTGGCAGTAGACTTTTTGAATTTTTCCAAATCGTTTCGGGTTTTTTCAAATCTAATGAAGAATTTACAAGTTTTTATTGTAATTGGTTTGCGTAGAGAGAAAAAAAATCAACAACTTACTCGGATGATATTTGTTCAATTTTGGCGTTGATGTTCATGTTCAATTCATTGACCCGAGCAGCTGCGTTCTTGTATTCGCCACTCAATTTGGTTACCGACTTCAGTGCCGATTCTTTGATTTCAGTTTTGGCTGCTTCAATTTGTTGAATTTCTGCCGTCTCTTCTAACCGAAATAGCTGCTCCCAAGAATTATTTGCCATTGTTGAAACTTTTCAATTGAAATTTTGAAATGTTTCCGAATTATCACTGATTCAACTAAAATGACGGTGGGTAACAAACATCCACTCCGATGAATATCTCCGAGAGGAATGTCGCTACCAATGTCGTTGGAACCTTATGAGTGTGCAACGCACACATGCAAAATGAAATTTCTTTTATTAAACGAAAAAAAAAGAACGCATTCACTCAACACAATATTGAAATCGAAGATTTTGAATTTGATACGGGGTGCTGTTATTTTCAAATTTAATGACATCGCCTTCGTTTTCTTTGTTTATTTTGCGATTGAGTTTAATACCGTCATAATACGGCACAAATTCACCACAGACATGCACAGACCGATGAAAAATCAGCTAATTTTATTATTTTATTTCGATTGTTTGAAGAATTTTAAGTTTGAACAATACGCAGCTATTGAGACCGAGTGATTAAAATAAATGTTGTTCGTTTTTTTGTGTGTGTGTGTGTTTGTGTCTTTTCAGTTGCGGATGTGTAGGTTTTCTTAATGCGTCGCATTCTCCAAAACTGATTCTCGTTGCAAACATTGAATAAAAACAACCGAATATAAGCTAATGAGTTGATTTTGAATGACACAATGTTTACATCTTTTCGGTTGCCAATTCAATTTGGCCCTTTGTTCGCCGAGCTATCAAATCCCTACTGTGTGTGTGCGTGTGCATTTGAAAAATGTCAATGCTATACAAAACAAATTATGATTGTTTTTCTCTGTAAAATATCCAATAAAATCAGAGCATTGAATTAAATTGGAAAACAAAAATCTTGGTCATTTTATCGATAAATATGTATTGACAGACTGTGAATACATTTTTCGTATGAGGTACATTTGAACGGACGGATAAATAACATTAAGATATACAAAGCAACAACAATATATAATATTTCTGTAATCATATCCGTCAATTCAATATTTATTTAATTTAGTATCTCTTTGGATTGCTGCTCTTTTTCTTCCTCTCCCCCATATTTATTCATTTTTAACGAGCTCAAGTGCGTAACTTGATTACATCGCACTGAATTTATATGAATGCCTTTTGAACCATTTATATTGATGTTGAATCTGTGTTCCGCATTAGAAATTCATTGGATTTTCGTTTTTTTTTTGCAGATTTCCGAACCTCCACAACTTCAATGGCCATAATGAAATACCATCGATTGAATGTAACTACGCCAAATGAAGACGATGAATTCAAAAATAACAACTAAAGACGTGAAACAGACAGAATCGCGTTCACCGAACGGTTCACAATTGTTCAATCAAATTCTACACCTAAAAAGGGTATACAGATTTTTTTTTTTTTTTCATTTGTAAATTGAGTCGGGATTGAATAACAAAACACAAAAAAAATTCACTTTTAGCTTGTCGTGTATGTTCAATATCAATGAGAATCAATATTCAATAGAAGAAGAAGAAAAAAAATGGTTATGAGCGAATTCAATGTTTTATGTGTCATATGTCATGTGTCATGTTTTCGAAAACGATTGGCGAAATATATTCTCGGTTGTGCAGGGCGTACAAAAATATCGAATAAACTGCATAAGCTGTTGAAATTGCTTTTTCAAAAGCCAATACTTCAAATTGCAAAAAATTGGCCATGCAATGGCAAAATGATCTCAAATGAATGGCGAATGGCCACACGTACAATGCATTGCACAGACAAACACGCTCTCTCTCACATGAAATCCTTATTACAAAATTCCTCCCTGAAATATGCAAAAATGAAAATTTCAACTGCACACACACAACTGCACATAGATACATATAGTTATAGCAATCATAATAATTTCGGTATATGAATTGTCTGTCTTTTTACGGGCGTTGTGCACACATAGACGACAACAACACACACCAATATATACCGATCGAAACGGCTGCATACATACACCAGATTTGCTCTTCGCATACACTTACAACAGACGGTATTACGATGCTAAAGCTCGATAGATGTAATAAAAAGTTGAAATAAACAGGAAAAGTGAAGTAAGCAACCACATCAGGTTGATAAAGAGAGACAAAGATAGGAAAAAGAATGTGCGGACACAGACATGAACACAAACACAAAGAAAACGGATAACACACAGCGCAACGCATTGCATACAATACACACAGCATTGAAAAATAAAGCTGATGCTGGTTTTCATTCTCGATTCCGGTTTGTTTACATTTGGATGTGTGTGGAAAACATCGTCTCGGTTTGGTGTTGAATGTGATATAATTTGAAATTTACCTGCATAAATGCAATTCACTGGCATGTAGAATGTTTATATTCATGGACGATTTTATGTTCATTTGTGTGGGTGTGTGTGTGCAGTTTATACATTACTATATATATAAATCGTGTACACATAGGCTAAAAAAGAAACCGAGTACTCGACATTGGCGCTCGCGACATAGGAAAGTGGAGGCGTCCACCCATCAAATTTTGGAACGAAAAACTGCACACTTGTGTGTTAGATGTGCTCATTTTTACCCTCTCGTTATACACACGAGGCAATGACGATGACGACGACGACGATAGAGGCATTCTTTCAATAAATTGAGTTCAAGTCTGGCTCATTTTTACAAACAAACGACGAAGCAGCTGAGTTTGTAGCGTGAACGAGAGTTTGCGTGCGCGAGAGCGTCACCACGATCCGGATCAGCACAATTTTTCACAAGACCCAAACACTAAGTACAACAAAAGATGATGCAAATATAAAATTGAGAAAAGCCACAACTAGAACCCGAGGTGCACCACGTTTGAAATATATATACATATAAAAAAAGAAAATATTTTTATCACCGCCGCACGTTCTTTTGTGCTGCATGCTTATAGACAGAAAGATGAATGGAAGATCTATACGTATATAAAAATGGAGAGAGAGAGAGAGGGAGAGAGAGAGAGAGCAATAGAGTATGACAGGGGATATGATGCGGACAGCACATAAGTGTAGACTTCAAAGGATGCAAATTTTAAACAAAATTCTATATTTTTCTTGTTTGTTTTTACATGGCATTTTAGTTTAACAGATTTGCAACCCCTTTTTTTCTGCTGTCATGATCTCTCGTTCTCTTTATATCATTTACCAAAACGAATTGAGTTTTATGACAGTCTTTTGTATATTATTTTCTGGTCTGTTTCAGCGATCTGTGTGACTTTGATTGTAACAGCATCACAAGCGCACCAGTGTCATAATTTAATTTAACCAACTTGTGTGTAATATCTTACATTTTTTATTCTATCTCTTCACAACCACACTGGCGGTTTGAGAGATTTACTTCGACAACGATGACGAAGAGAAGAAGAAACACTGCATTCATCATATATGCAATTCAAAAGATTTTGTCATCACACGCGAAAATATTTATCGCAATTAGAGGATAATTTCTACATCTCTTTATCTTTAACACGATTGAAGAGTGATTTCGAAGCAATTAACGTTATTATTTACTCTTGTAAGTATATAACTTTTTTGTTGAACTTTTTATCGTTTGCTTTCATTTTGTGTGATTTCAGATGCGATGGAAAAGTGAAAAAAACAAATTCATCAATTACCGTAATGTGAGAGGCAATATTTTTAGAGGGTGATTCACCAACAATACCTCTTCTCACACTTCGCATACTGTACACCTAAGACTCTAAGTGGGTAGATTCGTCCCTTATCAATCTATCGCCCCGTGTGCAAATAGAAAACTGGACGGAGATCTGATAAGGGCCGGTTTGAACCCCATACAACTATAGAGTCGTACCTTCACACGTTGAGCCGAGGAAAGCACCATTCTATTCGAAAATGTTGGACGAAATAATTAAGCAAAACGTTAAATTTTCTTTATTCAGTTTTTGACCAACAATTCGATATAATTTTCACTAACACCTCTAATTAGACACAATTTGTGTGTCACACAAAGTGTTCAAAAATGTTCGCACAGTAAGATTTGATGTATATTTTGGTATAAAAATATAAAAACATCGCAAAACTCCTGATTATGAAAAACCTCCTTATGTGAGGTTATTTTTTTAACTTATAGAGTAACACCATGGAATACATTCGGAATACAAAAGGTCTGATATCAATTATGGATTCTTTTTTTTACCTAATCGAAACTGTAATACACGATTTTGTTTAATTTGGTGGATTTATTTTTGAAATATTGTTAACAATAGAACTATTCGTTCTATTGAGTGGCATTCAAATTGATATCACCTTCTGAATGTCACGTCACTCTCGCAACGGAAAGTTTTTTTATTCTGATAAATCACCGACGGAAGTGATTTTCCACATGTTAATTTAGATAATTATTCTCCAAATGCACGGAATCTGAAACAATCAATTTTCCAGCTGATTTGCTGTGCTCGTGAAAAATGTTTGTAACAAAAATGTTCGTTTCAAAGCATTCCAATTTTAATCAAGAGCATCAGCTCTCAGAGCAAAAAAAATCAGACATTGTACTGAGATATTTGCAGCCAACTAAAATATCTCATCCGATTAGGCTCATCTGCTGTGTGAAATGTATGAAAATGGGAAAGTATACTATTGAAGTCAACTCGTCTCTTTCAGCCACAGGAGTTAAGTTCAGTCAGATAAGCTGGGTGTACATACAATATTTGCTGCAAATAAGTAAAAAAGCATGCGTTGAATTGTGAGCACCGACAACACTTAAATTTGGAACAGTTTGCAAGTGGATAGAATTTATGCATTTGAATAAAAAAGTCTGAGCGCAATCCATACATATCATGATAGCATTTGTTTGTGCAATAAAATTGGATTGTTGTAACAAAAATCTATTTTATAGGAAAGAAGCATGCGTACCTGAATGCTTGCAATATACACCATTTTCCCGGTGTTCCATAGCTTAGGTGCTTTGTTGGATGTTGGCGGTATGCACTCATGATTACTGTAACACAAATGAACCGTATAGACAAAAAAAATACAGTGCATTCACTGGATGGCAACATTGCCGAGTGAAGCCAAAACGCGGAAATGCAAAAATCCATTGAACAAAAGGAAGGAGACCGATTTTAGTTGGTAGAATGACAGAGAGAAAATGAACGGAAGATAAGAACACAACATACTAGATATAGGTAAATTCAAAAGCTCTAAAT